TAGCTTGATTAACCATCAAAAGTGATATTTTATTATATTTAATGATTGGTTAATTTTATATTATTAGTGATTAAATGTGTTAGTTTCCTTGATTTTCTAGTTTGATACTTTTTCTCGTTGTTTAGTTTATTTTACAAGTAAATTGATTGATTTAAAGTAATACAAAAGAAGAATTACAATTGATAAGGATTGAAGATAAAGATTGAAAAGTCAAGATTAAGATAGGAATATCTGAAGATAAGGTGACAGTTTAATCCTAATAAGAGTTCAAATTAGAAGAAAACTCATTTAAAGTTGGATTAGGAAAGTATCTTAGAAGATAAGGATTTGACACATCTTCAGTATTTTAGTAATAACTTTTGACTTCGATATCCAATTGACTTGATTTTTATGGGGTTGGAAAGAATATTTCAACATCTACAAAAGTATATTTCATGAAAATTTTGTGAATCGACCTCTAAATATGCAAAATTCAAGCTTAAAGTCTTGATAGATTTTGTACCCACGCCCCCAAGATTTTATGTATCGAATTTAACCTTAAAAGACTTCCTTTTGAAAATGAATTCCTCTCAAGCCTACCCTAGATCTCATACTTATACCTAGGCTTTATTTTAGTATAAATAAGGGTTCTTACCTATTGAGAGGGATGATTAGGATGATTATTATTTTCTTCCTATCTTTTATTTTCTAGTTTTTGTTCTATTTCTATGGCTTGCTAAAAGTCCAACTAAAGTTAGGGGAGATACTTTCAATAAAGCACAGTATTTATTATTGATTCAATGTTTTTTTTAATGTATGATTTATTCTTTTAATTTAATTCTTGTCTTTTACTAAAATTTTTGCTCTATATAATTTCTTGATTCGTTGTGTCATGTACGTCGAAAGCTTGAGATTCCCTGCGAGACAAATAATTAGTTATTTCATGCTTGAATTAATTAATTAGAATTTTTTATAAGATAGTTGATTTATTATTTGTAATAAAATAAGATTTACCCGTTGGAAAGTTTGATTTATCGTAGACTCCGGGCACGGTAAATACTTGTGATCTACAAGTAAATTCTTATATTTATTTAGATAATTTATTAATTATAAATTTTGATGTTTTCATATTATCACCGCTAAATATTCTATTGATATCATTCTTCAGTATTCTCAATTGAGTTCAAAAATTGGATCATTAATAATTGCAGTGAGGATTTGAAAGGGTATCTCCAATGCTTTAGTATTTTCAATCATTGTTTTAAAATCAAATTTATTGTTTTCTAATTTCAACATATCTACAATAATTTTTTTCAAAGCAATTTTGTTTTATTTTTCTGTGTTCTAAGTTTTCACAATTATCTGTGGTTTGACTTCGAACTTTCAAGTATTATATTACTTCGCGACAACCTACACTTGAGTGATCAATTCTAAAATTGTAGCATAGCTCATGGCTCTTCACCTAGTAGGGGATTGACATGGTGGGTGCCTTACCTCGAGGAAAGAACTAGTGTCATTTCGTCATCATATCCATTGACTACTTCACCAAGTAGTCCCAAGCCAAAGCCCTAGCCACCATTACGGAGAAAAGGATAACAAACTTCGTGTGGAAATTCATCATCTTTAGGTTCAGGATACCACAAACCATCATCTCGGACAACAGGAAGTAGTTTGACTTGAGGGGTTTCAGGGACTTTTGTTCATGCCTAGAAATCAAAAACTTCTACTCTTCTCTAGGCTACCCTCAAGTGAATGGACAAGTCGAGGTTACATACTAAACACTACTGTAGAATATCAAGACCAAGTTAGAGAAAAAGAAAATCTTGTGGATCGAGCAATTACTGGAAGTATTCTAGGCCAATTGAACTAGCCCAAGGAAAGTCCAAGGAGAAACACCCTTTATGTTGGCTTCTGGAATAGAGGTTGTGGTCCCTATAGAGGTCAGACTCCCATCACATTGAACATAGTGCTTCAACCCTGAGCAGAATGGAGTCAAACTTAGAGATCAAACAGCACTTAGATTCTCCTCCTACCAACACCAGACAACTCGTTATAACATCCAGCGACTCAAAGACCGTAGCCTCCAGGCGGAAGACCTTGTGCTCAAAAGAGACGTCTCTAGACCAAAAAGCAGGAAATTGTCTCTTAATTTGGAAGGTCTATATATGGTCACAAAGGTAGTTCAAACAAGAACATACTAACTCCAAACCTCCCAAGGCAAAGAGTTGCCACACGTATGGAACATAAAACATCTCAAAAAATACTATCCCTAGACAATTTTTTTTGGGGGGGATATGGTAAATAAGAAAAAAAAATTCAATATTTAAATGTAAATTCACATGCTACAAGTGCATTTCAAACAACTCTTGGAGAAAACCAAGCAAAACATTATCCAACAAGACAAAAAGGCCCTCACATTTCCCGCGGGATAATAGATTCAATAAGACCAATAAGCTCCTCATTTTCTCCACAATCCGAGAACTAATTTCACATGATAAAGAGATTTGGGGAGACCAGTGAAGTCCTCGCTTTCTCCGCCCACCATGATTTAACTCCAAGTCCAAGGGAAAAAGAGATTCGGGGAGACTAATAATGTTCTTGTTTTTTTTGCCCACTGAGAACACAATTCAAACAATTTTGTTGAAGAAAAATTTACATGATCCCTGGGGGCAAGGCTCATGAGGGTGACTACCCCCTTTCATTATTTTATTAAGGCAAATTTTCCCAATCCCTGAGGGCAAGGCTCACAAGGCTGCTCACCACCTCTACCTTGATAATTTTTTCAAGGAAAATTTTTATGTTCCTTGGGGGGCAAATATCACGAGGCTAACCCCCCTCCCCTTTATTATTTTGTTGAGGAAAATTTTCCCAACCCCTAGGGAGTAAGGCTCATGAGGCCACCCATGAGGCCAACCACCCCCTTCATTATTTTTTTAAGACAACCTTGCCTAATCCTTATGGGATAAGGCTCACAAGGATGACCACCCTCTTCATTATTTTGTTAAGGTAAATTTGTATGATCCCTGGGGGGGGGGGTGGCAAGGCTCATGAAGTCGAGCAAACCCTTTCATTATTTTGTTATGAGAAATTTTCACGATTCCTAGAAGCAAGGCTCACAAATCCAACCACCCCCTTCATTATTTTGTTAAGCGAAATTTACCAGATCCTAGAGGGAAATGCTCAAGGGGCCGATCACCCCCTCTCACCGCACTTGTCTCGTTTTCAGGGGAGTAAGGGTTATTAGAATAGAAAACAGCACAAACATAATAAATTGGCCCAATAAATATGAATTTTTCTTTAAAATAAAAATAGAAAAAGTATAACACATGAGTTTTCAAAAATAAAGAAGTAAACAACATCACCCCAAAGAGGAAAGAAAAGACATTACTTCTTCCCCTCATCTATCCCCACTTCGACCTCCGCAATAAGCTGGAGCAAGCTGAAGTCAACATCGAGAAACTTCACTAATGATTCAAATTAAAAAGCCTCATACCCAACTAAGCAATGCGTGGCTTGTGTAATCCTGCCTGTCATCTGACTCCAGGAACTTTTTCATAGCAGTCTCCTCACGAGTCTTTGTTTCCTTCTTATTTGATTCCAAAGTGCGATTGAGCTAAAAAATCTTCTCCTCCAAACCAACACCCTTTTTCTTTACTCTTAATAACCTCATCACCTCAAATATTTTTGCCTCATCATTGGAGCTTTTTCTCTAAAGTGTTCCTTGCCTGGATTGCCTTGGCAGTCTCAATGATTACCTGTTGAAGGATCTTCCCGCTCTTCTCAAGTTTAGCCATTAAGAGAGTCTTAGATTAACAGTGCCTTGTGAATAGATTCATGGTCACATGGTACCCCTAAGAAAAGGAAGAATGGAGCTTGGCAAGCTGCAAGAACGAGAAAGTAAGCCCCTAAAAAGAAAACTAACAAAGTGAAAGGAAGAAAAAAATGGTAAATGAACTAATCCTCACTCATTTCTTATAAGCCTGAGCATGAACCTCAATCGGACCGAGCTCTTGGAACTTCTCCATGGCCTCCTTGGTTACCCTGAGAGTCCTCGGAGATGGCATGAAGACTAACCCTTATCTCCAAAGTAGACTTCTGATGGCGGAGATCGCTAAAACCAATGGAAGAAAGGAGTGAACTGCTTGAAAGGTTCACAACAGGAATTGGGACCTCGTGCCCCCCTCGCAATTGAGTCTAAGGAGCGTACTCAATGGGAGGACCTCAAAGTTTACCCTCAGCTAAAGTCCTGTCACCAGGAAGCTCCTCCAAAGAAGCGTTTGCAAGGATAGCAATAGCCCAAACTCTCAGGAGCTTGAACTTTTTTAGAGGAAGAAGCTTAGATCCCCCGATCATCTACTTGGCTTCAAGGTAGCAATAACCTGCTTATCCAAAGACATACTAGACAACTCTGTTAGCAAGGAAAGTGTCAATACAAAGAGAGAGAGAGAGAGAGAGAGAGAGAGAGAGAAGGGAGTGGTACTGAGAGGTGAACTTGCTGGAGGAGCCTCCATTTGGGCTAAAGTCCAAATCCCCGGACAAGAAGAGAAACTTAGATTTCTAGTCCTTATTAGAGTAAGGTACACCCAACCCAAGCTTCGCGACCTTATTTTGAGGGCTAAAATAAAAATATTCTTTCTGCTGACACTCCTTGACCTTGAAGCAGTACTTAAGCCTCCATGAAGACATATAGAATAACGACCTTGGTCGCTCAATCGCCAAAGGGCCATAAGACCGGTCAAGGTCCTCTGTACGTTAAGAACAAGCTGGTAAGGGGACAGTCCGAACCAGGAAAGGACCGACCTAATGAAAAGGGGAACAAGGAAATGAACGCCTTTTTAAAAAGTCAACATTGGAAAACACACCTCCCCATAGGAAATCGAGCAAGCTTGCTCGTTGGCATGAGGCAAACGAAGCTTGACAGTCCCAGGGATCACATGTCTTGATACTAAAGCAATCAATTTTCTATTTGTAAGGCTACACTCTACTTCATGGGCCTCCTATAGGGAAGCCTTGTCGGTCAACTAGGAGCCTTCCCCAACGCTCATATCATCCAACTCAACCCGTTTTGAGTCGACATCAGAATCAGAAGAGTTGACCAACACCTCCTCATCACTATCAATAGCCATCCTAGCCCCTGAGGAAACCAAATGATGACCACCACGAGCATGAAAAGGCCTCAACAACTTTGGTAGGGGGTTTTTTGTTGAAGAATTTTCCTAAAACTAGAGGTTTCCCAACCTTGTGAAGAGGAAAGGGCGTTGAATGAATTCCCTTACCCAAAAAAAGATGCTTGGAAATGAGTAGAGAAAAATAAGGAAATCGCTCACCCCTTTAACCCAGAAGAAGCACTCCTTTTAAATGAAGTCCAAAAAACAGAAAGTGACCAGAACTCCCCCCCACACACACACACACACATATATAAGAAGGGATAATGGCTACGATCACTTTGATCCAACGAATAGGAACCAATCGTCAAAAGGCACCCAAAAGTTTGTAACACATGGTGACGTGGGAGCCATTAGTCGAAAAGACAGAATTTATGGAGCCATCATAGTATGCCACAAGAGGCGCCACCTGTCTTTTCAAATTTCAAAAAATAAAAATCGTCATTTAAAAAAAAGTAACCACCAAGAACCAATATGATAGGATAATTCCGAGTACCATAATTCCCAATGACTAAGCTATTTTAGGGATAAGTCTCATTGATTCTTCGGCAATCATCACCTACACTTGATGAAACAGAAAACTACCTAACTCGTCTGATGAGCTACTGACACACGTTCGGCCCGGGCGAGCATGACAACATATCAACATCACTTAGAAGACACTTAATCCCCATGCCTGTTAGTAGCGATGTTCTCTTAAACCAATTTACACCCAAAAGCACTCTATAAAAACCCTTAATGAACGAGGGAATACAAATACTCTCAGATTCTTTATTATTTACACTTCATCTTTTGCACTGATTTGAGTGTCGAAGGTAGTTCGATTGGCAGTACATAGGTGCCCTCTTCGTTAGTTCCTTCCTTGACAGGATAATAGTCCCTAGATTCCAAGGAACACTAGACCATCGCTTTAGTGGCTTCGCCTAAACACCTCAATCTAGCGCCTTGCCCCTTCAAGCTCACAGGGACTAATAATCAATTACCAAGGAAATTTCAACGATTAAATTTGTCGGGGAAATCGTGGAGCAGTTATTTGACACAACCAAGTTTCCTTTAGTGAAAATGTTGTTGGACTTCATTTGGTGATTTAATATGATAACTTAATTTAATGCAATTTAAAAATTGTATTAAATTAAAATTTATAATTAATTTAATAATTATATTAAATTAGATCTTTAAATTAAATTCTTAAAACGACAAAATCTACCAGGGAGATTCATGCTGGAAAAAAGGGGAAAAAATTCCCTGTGTCCTGCCCAAGGAAAAGAAATTAACCGTTAGAAGATCATCAACACCTCCAACGCCTTGCTGTTTTGAAATAAGGAAATGTTATCAGTCCAACGGCTAGTTTCCAATTAGTATTCTTTTCCTCTTCTTCCTCTCTCTTCAAATCTAATATCTCATCGGCGTTCTGGGGTTTTCCATCAGTGCAGATTAGGAGAACACACCGCTGCCCAGTCGATAAATTGTGATACAAGTAGAGAAAGATTGATTGATTCAAGGTGTCCGGGATCGAGTAATCAATTCCATGGTGCAAATTAATCGGGGGATTTTTGGTGAACTGCTCCATTAGTCGTTCATCTTTCTAACAATTGGTTTACGGTAACCATTATAGAGTCGATTTCAGATTTGCCGATCGATCCATTTCCCTTTACTCTAATTGCCTTGCCATTATATTTTCTCGTCTCGGGTGAAAATGAACGATTCTATCGCTGGAGTAGTTGGTGCATCTACTCTAGAGCCGCAGCAGGAGGCCGCGGACACCATCGCCTTGGCGGTTCTTCCTCCGACTCACCGCCGGCCAAGAGTGAGGGAGGTCAGCTCTAGGTTCATGTCTCCGGTGGTTTCTTCTTCTTTTTCCTCTGGTGATCTCCATCTCCTCTCTTCCAAGTCGCCTCTTACGAAGCACCCCGTTTCAACTCCTATCCCTGCAGAATTTCAAGCAAAGCAGCAGCAGCAGCGCTCGAAATCTGTGCTGAGTCGACGCCTGGAACAGGAGCCGCTAAGCCGTGCCGACCAGAACATATCTGAGACAATTCGGAGCTTGGATACCCCGTTGGGATCACAGACACATTCTAAAGCGGTGGTGTCCGTACAGAGGAAGCAGCGTGCTGCCGTGAATCTTTTTAAGGAGAACGGGGGGGACAGAGTGGGGGAGCAAAATCCGCATCAACAGAAGAAAGGTGTTGCACAATTAAAAGGCTTTCTTGGTGGAAAGTCTTCTGGGAGAAACGAAACTGTTGCCCCCTCAAGGCCCGATACACCAACATTGAATGCCACAGATAGGATTATCCCATCAAGATACAGGCTCACATCCCAAAATTTTCAGCGTCCAACCAACATCAGTGGAGCAGTGACCGCCGCTACCAAGTTATTGCGAGCAAATGAGATGTCATTGTCCACTGAGCCCTCAAATTTGGACATCGGGGTCAGTGGCAATTCATGCCCACAAGCCACATTTGTTCCTGGAAATCATTGTACAGTGGGTCTCAATGACGATGATGACCAAGTAGTTGCACAGCACCTGGCTAGAATCGTAACATTCAAAGATTCAGGCTCGTGCACTGGCACTAGTCAGCTGAATTCGTGTAGTAATTCCCCTGTTCCCATCCAAAAAATCAAGGCATGTTCTCTGTCAGATTTGCGCTCTTCCTTGCCGGAGGTGGATATGTTGCCCACTGTATCAACCAGATTGCTAGAAGAGAGAAGTTGCAGCACCGCTCACATCAGTGAATGTGAATCTTCAAAGTTCTCTGCTTCCTCTTGCTTCCGTTCTCTGACGTTGCCACTGTCAAGCTCTGAACACTCCTCCCTCTTGCATTCTCTCAAATCCAGTGAGAAAACAGCATCTGCTCTCTCCAGAGCCTCTACAAACTCTTCAAAGATGCGAAACTTTTGTCTGCCTCCACACCCCACGTGCATAAAAGGGGGAGCAGATACAAGGAAAGGAAGAACGGTTCTCAATCATCCAGAAGAAGTTCATTCCTTGAAATTGCTTCATAACCATTATCTGCAGTGGAGATATGCAAATGCAAAAGCAGAGGCCTCCATGCATGCTCAAAGGAGGGAAACTGAGGTTTGTTACGATTTAATATGAGATTGATGGAGATGGATGGTATCCCGTCTTATAATTACATTGGTGATATTTTGACCCATTTTGGTCTTATATGACTCCCTATTACTATCCCAGAGTATATGGTTAGTTAAGTTTAGATATTTAAAAATGAATTATCCACGGCCTTTCATTTATTTTGGCGTGAAATAGAAAGAATTGCATGGATTTTTGGTGACATTATTTGATTTTTTAACTACTTATCAAGCATAGAATATAAGAAAATGGACTAGATTTGGATGTGATTATGTGGTGACACCACGTGTTTATTGTCTGGGGGAGATAGCCTTCTGAGATTGAAGAATTAAATTATATATTATCCCTTTTGTTTTGGATGGTATTCTTGAAATATCTCAAAAATAGCCCCTTACATAGTACTAAACTCAAGATGGTCCCCCGAGTTCTTATATTCTATCTTTCTTGTACTATAATTGCCTCTCCTTCCCCTCCTTCCATTTTGGAAATTCTGGCTTCACTGAGGCCTGCTTAGGTCATCAGTTCTTGATGAGCAATTAAATTCCCCTTTTATCTTGTTTTTCCGTTCTATTATGATAATCAGACTATATGCACTCTCTCTGTGGGTATCACAATATTTTCAACGTGTTTTTAATTTAGTTGTGGGAGAATTTGATCCAAACGTGTTTAGTTCCTTTTCCAATATTGTTATCTAATCTTGGTGTCTTTTTGTAGAGAGAACTTTATTCTCTTGCAACTAAGATATTGGATTTACATAGTGCCGTGACTAGAAGACGCATTGAAATTGGGTTGCTGCAAAGAGTAAAAACTTTATCTGCAATCCTTGAAGCTCATGTAAGACTACTATCTTGATAATGTTTTAATTTTCCTTGGATTGGTGTCTAATTATATGTATACTGTATTGATCCTTAAATTGATGTCTTGTATGAATGCTATAATGCTTTTTGGATTGATTTCCTTATTATATGCCATCTTGTTAAAGCCTATCTAACTAGTTAATTATAGGTGGAAATCCACAGGCGATAACTGTCCTATACTTGGTACATGGCCAAAACGCATTTTCCAAATGATTTTCCTCATTGAAGTATCATATTGATACTTGAAGTTTGTGTGCCAAGTATAGGAATTAATCAGTAGATTCCAAAACTAATCCTGATACCATGTGTCTGGCTATGATAAAGTCATCATTTTCCACTTACTCTTTTATATTGTGTTTGACATAGCTACATGATGCACTGAGGTTTTCTTTTCACCTATTGAATTCATGTCTTGCCTTACTTTGCCTCACTTGGTTCCCACTTATATGATAGTACTCTTATTCATCAGGATGCTGGTAACAGATTTGAAAATGGTAAATTTTACCAAGTACAAAGTTGATATATTGTTGTTTATTTTGGAAGCTGGATTTTGATGAGACATGACATATTTCGGCAAGGAACTTTTCAGAAACATATGGCTAGTTTGGTTTCATGAAGAAATTAATCGTAGGAAGGAGGAAATGAAGAGCAAAATATTCAAAACTTAGATTGTAAGCAAAGTCAAATTATGAGTTTTATAGGTCCCACTCCAATACAGCTTCCCAATGATGATGCAAAATAAATGCATTCACTCATGGATTTGGAATTGCGGAAACATTGAGTATAACTTTTGACAATAGATCATGACTTTGAAACATGAATTGTAAGTGATGGAGGTGTAAAAAACCAACTATAAATCATTACTATAGCATCATAAATTGAGAAGTATGAAGAACGGCACCAACAAATACACAGAAAATATGGAATTTTCAGATTTTGATGGTGGTTGTCACCTCTCCCCCCATCCCCTCTCTTTACTATTCCTTTCTAGTTAGTTTACATGTTTTTTCTACGTTTCTGCCTTGTCTCATTTTGTTTCTTCTTAACTCTTCTAGTCATTTATAGTGCTTCTCTCTTTTCATCATTTTTTTCCTTTCTCCTGGCAGACAAATTTTGACTAGAAACCATCAAGGAGACATTACTGTTTTTCTCTCTAATTAGCCCTTGTTTCTTTTTCTGATAGCAGGGAACTATCCCAACCAAGCACCCATTGAAGTATCACCACATTTGCACTTGGTTTCATATGTGTGAATTTCTTTGTTATGCTTACATATCATCTTAACTTGTGCTGTTATGAATCATTACTAGGTCATGTGTACATCTATCTAATATTTGCGAACTCTAAGATAGCTAACAAGTTGAATGAAAAATAAGACTCCACAACCGGACTCGATATTAGTTCACACTTGATTTCTACACAAGGAGATTAGCAAAGTTAAATTTTGCCATGCTTGTGTTTCTTTTGTAAGTTATACATAGCGAAATAAATATTTTTAGGTTTATCCCTTTCAGTTTATTCCTCTCAATTTTTAAGCAAGATGAATTTTTTTGTCTTTTATTTGGAACTTTTGTTGAATTAAACTAGATTCCATATTTGAAGGTGCAACTTCTTTGAAACTGTTGATTTTTAATACGATGAAAGTTTTGATGGTTAAATACTTAGACATCATCCTTTATTTACGGAGTTTATAATTCAAAAATAGATCTTCAGGGACAGTTCACTTATATTTAAGTCACATGTATCTATTTACCTTATTGTTCAGATATTTGCTTAAAAGATCTTGAAATTATCAATATGCATTTCAAGTATTTCTTGAAAAGAAGTAATTGGAAAATAAGATATCGGATAACAAAACACAGAAATGCCATAAAGATAGGGAGAAAAATGTAGGTATTGTACCAATACATCAAAGGGAGGGGCTGTAACCTAATGAGCACTATTTCTGGGGTGCTGATGTTGCTCATCGCTTTTACACTTGCTGGGCAAAGGATGCACCGAACTGCCCTCATAGACAACATGGCGATAACCCTGTCGAAGTTTGGCAGCTTTTCCTGTGGTACAAGAGGATTGAAAGTCCTATATTATGGTCTGAATTTTGGTTGTAATCACATTGATGATGATGTTATCACTGTTATGATCTTTTAACTTGTCACCACTAGGTGATATATGAATTGCAAACTGGTGTTCATTACTCATATTTTGGGTGGGGCTTATTTTAGATACCATATCTTGATCAATGGTCTGCCTTTGAAGAGGAGTACTCAACTTCGTTGTCAGGAGCATCAAGTGCTTTGCTCAATTTCTCACTTCAACTTCCAGTCAGTGGGAACGTCCGGGTAAGACATATTATTGCGGTTGCCAGAGAAAAAAATCCATTGTTTTGGAACTTACTAAATATGGTGTCATCCTGTGATGTTACACTTAATAAATCGTGAGATAATTTTGTTTCAGGCTGATATGGAACAGTTAGGGAAGGCTATGAACTCGGCAACAAAGGTGCTGGAAATGATAGGTTTTCTTGTTCAAAGCTTTATGCCAAAGGTACCATCGTCGAAGGAAATAAATTTCCCCAGTTGGTTTATGGAAGTCCTTATTTAGGAATATCCATTTATCAATGGACTATCATGAAGGTTAACAAAAGAAGCCTATACTGAAGCCCATAACAGAATCCAAGCCAATAGTTACAGATGAAAAAGAAAGACCCAGAACACTATTTTGGCAATTTGCTAAACCCAGAGTCAGATAAATATATTTGTTTCTCTTAATGTTCTGTTTCAGTTATGTATAGCACAAAAGAAGAATATGAACCACCAACATGAAAAGGATCACACAACCAATTCAGAATTAGGAAACTTTTTCGTTTTTTCTTTTTCCATCAATAGCATTCAGTTGTAGTTTCACATTAAAATATAAAAAATTTCAGATTGTGATTTTTGTACAGAAACACATTGGAGTGAGCAACCCCAAAAACTGAACAGTGAAGTGATTTAGCATAAAACTTTGCTGGAATTATATACAGTGTGCAACAAATCATGTAGATAAGCAGCTGTACTACAATTCCTATACATCCATATATTTGCACTCCTAGTGAAACAAATTTCTTTAATGCAGGTTGAAGAAATGGATACTTCAATTTCAGAACTAGCCAGGGTGACCAATAGAGAAAGAGCATTTATTGAGGAATGTGGAGATTTGGTATTTGGAACGTTTACATCACAGGTATCCTTCAGCTAGCTTCTGTTTGTAACTTTTTATGCCATCTTCTAATGACATGCTTCCTGGTCTTGTGAATCTGTCTTTGGCCCAGTAATTGTAACTTGTACTAGTTTGTCCATGTTATGGATCTTTGGTTTTGTTCGACGACAGAGACATGTATTTGAGGCTCGTCTTCTTCTTTTTTTTTTTTTTTTTTTTTTTTTTGCTTTAATTAAAACGATGAGAAATCTATTAAAGCGAGGCCATGCAAAACAATATCTGCGAGTTTTTTGATTCGTTAGTATCTAAAAATAGGCTGATTGGTGGACTTTCAGGTGGAAGAATGCAGCTTAAGAGGACATCTAATTCAATCCCATTCTAGCAACCATGCAAAACAAAATCAACCCCAGGAAGAGTGAAGTTCTTCATGGCAAGTCGCAACAAGTCGTGTTTCCTTTTTGTCATGTGATTTAATTGAGATATAACCAGAATACTTCTGATGAGGAATTTCATTTTCCGAGGTGGGAAAACAATGTTTTTTTTTTTTTTTGATCAAGGAAAACAATGTTCATCTTGCCCATCCAAAAGATATTGATATTCATTTTACGATTTTGAATAATCTATTTTCCCTCGGACTGCCAACAGGAGTCGAGTAATTTCTTTTCCATGGTTTCCTGTCCTCTTTTAATCTTTTCAATGCTTGGAATAAAGTAATGTCGAAATGGAGTCTCTCTCTCACTTCCATGCAAACTTAAGTCATATGCAATAAGTAGAACTATATCATGGGTTTCTTTGCTCAAGGTGCAAAATAATGGATGCGGCTTTGGAAATTAAGATTGCATGCCAAGAAAAAGCCTCGAATATTAAGTAATATAATAAATCTCAAAAAGGTATCGATTTAGCTCCCCAAAAAAAAATCCTTAAAGTAGTCTATTGTTTTTCCATTAACGGGTTGACATGGTTAGGGCATATGGCTGACTCGTCCAAAATCGTCCATGCCATAGTCAAGTTGGGGTGTGCTTAATGAAGCAACTTCTTGGTGCAAAGTGGTGCATGACCGGTGGGTTGATTGAAACCTCATACATGGTTGAGAAAGGCAGTTCATGCATGAGCACATTAGACACAAACAAGCAAGGCTAGTCGGTGTATTTGAATTGTGGGGTATTGCTAGCTTGGAAGATCAAATTATGAGTTGGGCATGGGTTGGCATGCATGCAAGACTAATCAGGTGTTGTGGACTTGCAAGAAAGTCATATGCACAACATGTGAGGGGATTTTGAGTAGTTGAGGCATGTGCACCACAAATGGTGATAGTTCCGAACGGTTGCTAGTATGTGCATGGCATGCAAGGCGGTTCTGTGCAGTTGCTAACATGTGCACAACATGAGGGAAGTTGCTGGCATTTACACATAGCATGCAGAGCAGTTATGGACAATTAATGGTTGGCTCAGTCAATAGTTGCAACTATCCCCTTTCATGATCAGCATACTATAGGAGTGACAGAAGGACTCAACCATAATCAGTAGATTGTGGGAAGCTTTATGGGTGAATCTAATTAATGTTTTGCATTACCTAGGCGATTGGGCTTATAACCGCCACATTGTATGTTATTTATAGGCATGGTAGGGTCTACAATGCAATCAAGAGAGTTTTGACACATTTTATAAGCAAACCCTTAGTTGGTTTCCTTTAGACTTATTAAGAAATAAAAAGTTTGGTCATTTGGCTTGTAATCGAGTGTGTGCCTATTGTGAGCAGCGTTTTAAAAATCGGTCTGATTCGGCAAGTTGACCCTATGAACCAGCCACTAAACCGAACTGGTCTCCTAATTTGATCGTTTAAGCTTAGAAACCGAACATAACTCGTTAAATCGGATGGGTTTTGAGGTCAACCTGATGAAGACGGTTTAAACGAGTTGACCGGATGTATTACAATTACTATAAATGCCAAGTTTTGGAGATATTTGAGCATTTTTTGCCCTAATCGTATTGCACCCAGCCACCACCGACCTCTTTTGTCTGTCTTCTGCACCTCTTCTTATAATACCTGAGGTAAAAAAAAAAAAATAACAATAATAAAAATAAATAAAAGTGAATAAGTTGGATTTGAGAAGTTTTAAACTTTTGTTTGGCTTGGGGTCTATCCTTATGGGCTTATGGATATGATTTGAAAATCAATGAAAATAATTTAATTTTTTTTTATGTAGGGGGAAATATCAGATAATTATAGAGACATATTAGGACTATTATACATGTGGTTTAAATATGGTAGTATTATTGGACAGATCAAACCTTTCGTATATATATAAATGTATTTAGGTTTGTAGGATTTTTTATTAGTGAGAAGGCTTGTGGAAGGGTTGTCATGTGAACAAAGAAGAAGATAGAGAGGGAGAGAAGGAAGAAGGAGGAGGAGGAAAGAAAGAAAGAAAGAAAGAAAGGACTTGAATCCATTAAAGGTACAAATTTATTACTTAATTTATGAATTTTGTATTTTATTCAATCACATAGTATTATATTTATCATAAATAGTGATACTAAATACGTATATGTGTGTGTGTGTGTGTGTTTTCATAGTGAAGAATATAAATGAATATGTAAATGAGTTTTATTGAAAATTGATAAGTTAGGTGTTTTTAGACCTAATTTAGATTGGTTAGTCTTGAAGTTTTAAGGAATTTAATCAATGTGTAAAAAGGCAAAAAATGGGGAGAAAGGAAGTTACTGTTCCATGTTCTGCCGTAGGTGGAGGAAGACCCAATCCAAAAATTATAGAAACATCCCCTTTAGTTTCAAAGAGTTTTATTTTGACTATTATATTCCTCTAAACTTAATTTTAACCACTATTTTACTTGGTAAGTTGGAAGAAATAGAATTTTGAAAAATTTATGGCAGTCCTAAAAATAGAAAATTCATTTTTAAGGAAATTATAATTTGACCCCCAAAAGTTTCAAAAAATTATGATTTGACTGTAAAACTTTAGAAACTTTTATAAACGGCCCAAATTACTTCCATACCCTATTAGCTCACATTAACAATATTATTTCTATGTAAAGGATATATAAAGTATATATCAATGTGTAGGAAGTATAAAAATTAAATACAAAATAGCGAAATGACGAAATTAGGAATAGAGATTGATCGTTATATATTATTTTGGAATAGGTGGTGATCGCCTTGAGGTTGAGAAATAGGGTTTTGAATTGACTTTTGGGAATCAACGTGAGTAGTTACTACTTCTTTTGGGAGAATTTTCTATAATAAATGTATGGGTACATGCGCGTGAATTTTTCATATATATATGATATATGTATTGATGTTTGGGGTTGCAATTAAAAGTATTACAATTGTGAACTGTTATACATGTGAATTTTGAAAAACTTGTGAGGTGATTTTATATCATTGCTTTGATGATCAAAGGAAAATTTTGTGTGAATTGGGACTAAAACTACAGTTTTGATGTGTATGAAAATCATGTTTATGAGATGGGGACGGGGTTATCAAGTCTAAGTGATAACGAGATTGTATACCGGTGTGGTCGATATAGGGATGTGCACATAGGGGTCAGTCATCAAGCTAATGATGATAAAAGACGGGGCCAGCTACCAGACTAGTGGTAACAAGAGACGGGGTCAGTCATCAGGCTAGTAATGACAAGAGATAGGGTCAGTTATCAAGCTAATGGTAACAAACATGATTTGACAAATATTTTTAAAACTGAATGTGTGTGTGAGTGTTTTAAGTTATAAATATTTTTTCATTTATAAAATTATTTGTGAAAATGAGTGGGTGTTTGAGTTATAAATGTCTTTTCATTTATAAAGTTATTTGTGATCATGAGATCATTTTATTTACATGATTATGTGAGAGGGATTGGGGTACAATTTGTTGTACTTATGCATGTATCAAAGTTTTTTTTTTTATATATAAATTGTGAGATTTATTTTCACACCTCATTAGAGGTGGTTGCTACTCACAGGACCTTTGTGCTCATCCAAACATTTAACATTTTTCAGGAGAGGATCAAGGTGAGGAGTAAGTCTGCGAATGGACAAGGGATTAGAAAAATTGAAGATTTATTTTATTGTAGGTCTTCAAGAATAAATATCTTTTATAGTTTTGAGATAAATATTCAATTATTTTGTGAACAATGTTGCTTATGCTTAGAGTAGTGAACCTTACGATTTAATTATTATTTTACATGGATTTAGTAATGATATTGGTGATGTTTAGTTTATTCCTCTGGTATTAATTAGGTTGATGGATTGTATTACTTTATTTTTTATCTTTCGGTGTATTTTGCATTTATTATGCACAGGATTAGTTGGTTAAGGCCTTGGTAGCCAGTCCGCCGCCATCCTATGTGATCCGGGATGGGGTTGTGACAAGAGTAGTATCAGAGCCTAGGTTTATGGATTACTAAAGGATTAGGCTGAATCTGAATAGTTATGTAGGATTTAATTAATTTGGTTTGAGAGATGTGGAATGATGATTCTAGTACATAGTATTATTGCTTTGGTGACTAAGACAAGTTAATTTGATTTGTATTTTGTACAAATAAGAGATAGTTATAGGAAGGGATGGTTTGGGTGTTGTAAAAAATGTAACTGACACTAATAGAATTTGAGTTTAAACATTCCTATGTGTCTCCTAGAGTAGCAATGAGATTGGTTGTGGAACCCAAAACACTTGAGTTTGATTTAACTGTGATAACTCCTACGGGTGGTTTTGAGTTTGGTGATATCGTGTATCCAAGGTGTATGATCTATATTGGAGAACAACAGTTACTAGTTTATTGAGTATTTTTAGACCTTAGGAGTTTTGATATGATATTAATTATGCACTGATTAGTCACACAAAATACGAAAGTTGGTTGTTTTGAATAGAGAGTCATGTGAATTTAGTTTCTAGGGGACTAGAATTATTTAATCCCCAGTCTTAAATCTACGAGTGCAAGCTTGAAAACAAGTGAGTAAAGATTTTTAAGAAAATATTGATAGTATTATTAATACAAAAAGCAAATGAGTGTCTCCTGAATAGATAACAATAGAAAAAGATTTTTGGATGTATTTAAAAAGAAGTTGTCTATGCCACCATTGGAGAGAGATAAAATTTACATTTTAGTAGCCCTAGGATACTTTACTTACATTTATTACTCTGTATTGGACGGTTCTCTCTGAACTAGAAGAATGAGAATTCAATTAAAAATATATTAGACCGAAGATTTATTCAACTTGGCAATTTGTTGTGGGGTGCTCATGTTATGTTTGTAAATAAAATGATTGGACTATAAAATGGTACGTAGATTACTACTAGCTGAATATGACAGCAACATGTAGTAAATTTCTTTTATATCGTATTGATTTTTTATTTGATCAGTTGTGAGGTGTTAGATAATTTAGTAAGATTGATTTTAAGCTGAGTTATCTTTACTTAAAAGAAAGACAGGATGATCTGAAAATAGTATGTGCAATTGGGATAGTTATATTATATTTTTGGTGAAGTCATTGACATTGACAAATGCTATATCTATTTTGATGGATTGACTAAATTGAGTATCTCAACTTTTTCTAGATTCATATGTTATTGTATTCATTGGTGTTACACCTATGTATTCTTGTAATAAATAAGGAATTACCCTACTCATGATTTTTGGGTTAGATGTAATTGTTTTTGTTTTGAGGTTATGGAGAGAATGGTTATATGGTGAGACATGTGAGATTTATTTCGATTATTAAAGGTTGAAAGATGTATTTACTGAGATGAAGTTTAATTTGAGAAAAAGAAGATGGATGGAAAGTCTAAGGACTATGATTATTCTATCATTATCATGTAGGCAAAGCTACTATAATGGTTGATACAATGAAAAAGAAATCATTAAGAAGTTTATGTTGTATTGTATTAAGTATACCTGAATGAGTAAATTTTATTGATTTGAGATTGATAAAAGTACATGTGATGTTGACTGGTACAGATATATTATTAGCTCAATTTTAAGTTAAACTCTTATTGATAGATCGTATCAGTTAGCTGCAAAAAAAAGGGACACATTTGGATTAGAAACGAGGTTTAACATAGTAGCAAGATAGATTTTTGTATTTTTTTGGTGAGATTATATTTATATTTTGACATTAGTTATGAGTTCTAAAAGAGAATACGTTGACGAGAGACATTATAGATGCAACTTACAGTTAATGTTCATACGAGGAGTACAAAATTATATTGATATTGAGAATCTATTATTGGTTGAGTGGAAAGAGAGATTGTTGAATTTGTAGCTAATGTGTAATGCATTGACAGATAAATACTAGATATTAGTATCTTACAGGTTTATTACAACTTCTTTCAATTTTTGAATGAAAATGGGAGTATATTATTATGAATTTTTTATAATCACTTTCAGGATATAGATTGGGCATGAATCTATTTTGGGTTATTGTGGATTAATTGACGAAGTTATTTGATAAAGATGTTTCATATTCACAACATACTTTGTGTTGTTATGTTCAGGTAGTATATATACCTGATTCTTCTTGTATATTGGTGGGAGCAGTCTAGGAAACTCTTAATTATGTTGAGGAGTCAATAAATATTGGGTAACAAAAGGATTCCATTAGTCAAGGTATTGTAGAAGAGTCACTCAGGCGAAGAAGTTACTTGTGAAGTAGATAAAAGGATGGAAATTGAATATCCTCATTTGTTCTCATAAGGTATATAAATTTCGAGGACGAAATTCTTTTAAAGGGGAGAGAATGTAATACCTGGGGTAAAAAAAATGAAATAACAATAATAATAAAAAAAAAGTGAATAAGTTGGATTTGAGAAGTTTTGGACTTTTGTTTGGCTTGAGGTTTATCCTCATGGGCTTATGGATATTATTTGAAAATCAGTAGAGATAATTTAGTTTTTTTTTATGTAGGGGAAATATCAGATAATTATAGAGACCTATTAAGATTATTATACATGTGGTTTAAATTAGGTAGTATTGTTGAATAGGTCATACCCTTCGTATATATACAAATGTATTTAGGTTTGTAAGGTTTTTTATTGGTAAAAAGGCTTGTGGAGGGGCTGTCCCGTGAACAAAGAAGAAGAAAAGAGAGAGAGAGAGAGAGAGAGAGAAAGAGAGAAAAGGAAGAAGGAGGAGGAAAGAAAGAAAGAAACGACTTGAATCCATTAAAGGTACGAATTTATTACTTAATTTATGGATTTTGTATATTATTCAATCTCATAATATTATATTTATCATAAATAGTGATATTGAATACATACATGTGTGTGTGTGTTTTCATAGTGAAGAATATGGATGAATATGTTAATGAGTTTTATTGAAAGTTGCCCAGTTAGGTGTTTTTAGGCCTAATTTAGATTGATTAGTATTTAAAGTTTTAAGGAATTTAACCAATGTGTAAAAAGGAAAAAAAAAGGGGGGGGGGGGGAAGGAAGTTACTGTTCCAGGTTCTACTGTTGGTAGAGGAAGACCCAATCTAAAAATTATAGAAACATCCCTTTTAATTTCAAAGAATTTTACTTTGACCACTATATTCCTCTAAACTTAATTTTAACCACTGTTTTACTTGATAAGTTGGAAGAAATAGAATTTGAAAAATTTATGGTAGTCCCGAAAACAAAAAATTCTTTTTTCAAGAAAATTACACTTTAACCCCAAAAATTTCAAAAAATTATGATTTTAACACCAAAACTGTAGAAACTTTTTATAAAACTGCCCAGATTACTTTCATACCCTATTAAATCACATTAAAAATATTATTCTATGTAAATGATATATAAATTATATATCAATGGATAGAAAATATAAAAATTAAATATAGAATCACGAAACCCCCACGAACCCCCACGAGGCTTGTCCATGAGCGCTACGGCTTGGGCCTATCGGCCCAAGCCTTCGCTCCATGGACTAAGCCTCAGAAAATTTTCCATTAAAAACCACACAACATTATTTCGGGTCGGGTCATCATCCGGATCACATATACAAACTAGACTCCATAAAAAAAACTAACACCTCTAAGAAAATATAATTATTATTGATCAAACATCCACAATTTCAACATTTTTAATACACTTTATCTCAAATTTCAAGAAAATATAACTATTGGTTTCTTTGTGGGTTTCTACCTAAAGTTAATAATATTATCTCTGCAAAATTTTTTCAATGTGAGTTCGTGTAACTTGTGAGGAAATCATTCAAAAATTTCACATGAATTCTCATAAAATGTAGAAAAATTTGTGGAAAAATTAAGATTAGTTTTCTTTTGAGTTCAACTTGAATATTCATAAAATTCAATCGAATTTAAGTTTAAGCAAGAATTTATACTTTACACTAGACAATTAAATTCAGTTCATTTTAAGTTTTAATTATAATCACGTCAAATCGAGAATTAAATTTAAGTTTGACTCAATTAACAATTCTATCTTAAACCTATAACTAATTCTTATTTATTTTTGTTCACAATGACACCATAATTTTTTAATTTAATTATTCTTTATTATTTACAATCAATTTCAATTTGACTTAACCTTGAATACTCATAAAATTCAAGCAAAGTTAAATTTAAACAATAATATATATTTTATACTTAACAATTAAATTCAGCTCAATTCGAATCGTAATTAAAATCACATCAAATCGATAAATCGAGTAAAATGAAAGATTTATTACAATTTTTGGGCAGAAAAAAGATTTAGAGGAGTTATTGCCTCGTGCAAAGTTTAAGAAAAACAATACTAGCTCCCTTATTATATAAACTAGTTATTGTCCGTGCCTGAATGCACTGTACGACAAAAAAAATCAATTTGAAAGCACTGCGTTACTTGTAAAAAATGAACACATAATGCTAGAGTTGCAGTTGTTGTTCATGTGACAAATGATGCTATAGGGTGTGCAATTGACGATACAAAGCGGCTCTCCACAATAAAGGAATTGCTTTGTAATAGTCTTAAGGGAAACAATGACTTGAAGACAACAAAAATGACACTTTCACCTCCTTATTTACGCATAGGGAGAGAAGATTACATCAGATCATGCTTGCTAATCGGGACTATGAAAAGGTTGACAAATTTGAATGTGGGAGAATTGATGATAAGAGCTCAAGACCTCATGTGACAATATTTGATTGTATTGAAAAGGATTACACAATGATTACCATTAGGTCAAAAGACATGCCTAAGCTGTTGTTTGATACTCTCTGCACTCTAACTGACATGCTGTATGTATTATTTCATAGAGTTTTTCACACTGGGAGGATGGAAGCTTTTCCAGTAAGAATATATTTCTTAAAAAGAAAAGTACGATTTGGAAGTGAATGATAGTTGAGGCAACAATGTGAAACCAATAACAAAAATTAGAAGTGTGAAAGACTCAGACATGTGAAACCAATAACAAAATAACCTGCTTGAAATGTGAAACCAATAACAAAACAACCTACTTGAAACCAATAAAAAAATTGCCTGCTCAAAATTCCAGCTGAAAGACTCAGACATGTAAGCTGAAACAATGGTTCAGGTGCACTTTAATAGCTGAGAAGTAACAACTGGAAAGAGAGAGGAGTTGTTGTATTGAATGAATTGAGGGCAGCAGCTAAACAACGACTGTTCTAGCTGCTACTTTGTTTTAAGCATCTAATTGTAGGATGATATGATTGTGGTTATTTCAGGTTATTCTTTCAGTTTAACATGGATAAAGAACTCATTTGGAGAAATAGAGAACTCATTTGGAGAAACATGAATGAACATTTATAGATTGATTCGTGATTAAGATAAATCTCCTAATATATAGATTGGGTGAATGAACATTTAGCATTGATCTATATCCACTGTTATTGTGATTAAGATAAATTGTTAGGGGCTTTAGGGTGTTTGTGGATTAAAGGGATATGTATGGATTCAATGTATAGGAAGGAATTGCAGAGTGTATTGGGAGGGAAGGCTGTGAGTTTGCCACAGGTGTTTATTAAAGGGAAGCATATTGGTGGTGTGGATGAGATTAAGCAACTTCATGAGGTTGGAGAGTTGGCAAAGCTTTTGGAAGGATTCCCAACTCAAGATCCAGGGATTGTTTGTGACAGTTGTGGGGATGCAAGGTTTGTGTCGTGCCTAAATTGTAATGGAAGTCGAAAAGATTGATTCGGTGCCCAAATTGTTGCTCTTGAATGTTGCAATGCTGCCAATAAATTATGATATATGTTTTGTTGTATGTTATGAGCAATTCTACTACTAAGGTTGCATATATCTCATTGTTTAGGATATTGTGTTGAGACTTGTTTCTTTTGTGATGTCTATATTGCGTAGCTTTTGGTTATTCTTAATTCATTGTCTCTTTGAACTAAACTACCACTGAAATATTAAAAAGGTAGCATTATTTACTTGTTACTCAATTCACAGGGAAGCTTGTGAATAACAAAATAAACAACATGAAAATTTTAGCATTTACAAATTTTTCCTAAATATTTATACAGTTTCACAGAATTTTTTTCCCAAACCCAAAACGGAACAACACAATTATCAATTTTTTTTTCCTATCCAAAACACGAATTCCTCAATCACAAATTCCTGTCCAAAACATGAACTTTCAAACACAAAGGCAATCACAAATTCGCAACACAGAGACTAAAAACAGCAGTTATTCATGCATATACATACCTATATACAAAAATCTCCTATTCAACAAAAACTCCAATCTCAAACGGAAAATGTAAGCATAACACATACACACACATAAATGTGAATATCCAAAGCGTACCTTTCTCCTCTCCTTCTCTCTTTATGCCTTTCGTTATTGTTTTTTATAGGAGTCAATTGAAACTCTAATTCTAACTAAAACATTAAAATTGGTACTTTATTTGATTGGAAAATGTTGGCAGTTTGAGCAGTTTACCTTGAAATGATGAATACCACTTCCAAATATGCCCACAACTTTCATCTGGACCTTAACATCATGATTGCCCGAAGTTGCAATTGCATGATTAAAACCCAATTAACCAAACTAATTGAAGAGTTCATAGGAGTCAATTGAAACTCTAATTCTAACTAAAACATTAAAACTGGTACTTCATTTGATTGGAAAATGTTGATCAAAAGGGAAAAATTTGAGCGGAGAATGACTCTTCCATGATAGTGTACCTAGCACAAAAACAATAACAAAATGCATGAAATTTGGAAACTGGGTATTAAAGAGAGAAAAAAACAATGCAAACCAAGAGAACGAACATAGATCCTTTACAAAAAAATAAGTGGGTAAAATTGTTTCTTCTTTTTAGCCTTCTGTCAATCACTTAGAATGCATAAGTGGGTGGTGGCAGTAATGGCTCTGACGCTGCTGGTGGTATCATTAAGAAATTTATTCTTAAAATTTGGCATAAACACACGCACACATAGTGCTTCAGCGTCACTATCATTTGCAGCGAGTATTGACAAAGAAAGAGAATGAACATAGAGAGAGAGAGTATGAGCGAATGAGTGAGTGAGAGAGAGAAAAATAAGTACCTAGGCAACGGTGTTAGCTAGTCTGTGACTTTGCTGGTGGAGGAAAAGCAGCGACACAAAGATTGGCATAAGAGTGTGTGAGTGAAGAATTGAGATTGACAGGAGAGAGATTGAGATGGATTCCATTTAAGAGATTTTGGAATGAGACAGAAGTGAGAGAGAGAGGCGTGAAAGATTGGGAGAGAGGCAAAGGTGTGAGAGATAGAGACGTGTGAGAGAGAGAGACGCGTGAGAGAGGAGGTGGGCAGGAAAATAAAATTCGGTAATCACTGTGCACTGTTAGATCAAAATTTTTGAGAAGATCTGAACCCTTTTTTATATTGAGATTACGTTGTCCGTTGGATTTATTTATGTTTTGTCTCAAAACAATCTGGATCACTCTTTGTTTCTTGGATTCAAACTTCATTCTATTTTATTATATAGATATATTATAAATTATATATACATTACTCGCCTATTATACCATTTGAATATTATAGTATTTTTATTTCAATACGAAATGATCTATATTAAAGTCATTCGACTCGCTTTCACGCAAAGAATCTATATTTAAGGTCCATATAAAAAATCATAATTAATGACCTAATTAATGTGTTAGCGATTCTATAATATAAAACAGGGCAGCTTCAACAAGCAGATCCTACGGTCTCAAATTTTTTCATCCAACAGTCAAGAAATTATAATTTTTTTCCTTAATATTCTCCCCCAATAAGTCAACGATGACGACTGATCTTGAAACGATCTCAAATTCATTCATCCAACGGTCAAAAAATTAATATTTTTTCCTTAATATTTTTCCTCCCAACCAATCAAAGATTACGGCTGACTTGGATCACAAGATTTTCTCTAACATAATAATTAAATAGTTTAAATTTGTCATTAATATCAACTATGTAGTGTAACATTTTAAATTTGTATAAGAGACAATGATAATATTTTGATTATAAAAACTCATCAATTTAACAGATTAAAAAAAATAAGGGCGCTGTTTAACACATTTATATTGAATATAAATAATTTTAATTTTATTTATTTAATTAACTATCTCAAACTAACATGCCTTACACATGTTTTGAATCAAAAGTTTAAGACTATTTTTTTTTATCTCTTAAGAAAATCTAACTCTATTATGTTCTTATAAATATTAGTTTTTATATCAAAGTTTAATCTTACATTGATATGTGATATGACAAATACAGAAAAAATGAGGGTACATTCTGTTGTGTATATGTACAAAACACAGGCTTGACAATAGTGGGGAAACTATGTTGTTGTATTATTACTTCAAGATTGTAAATTTGATTTAGTTCTATTAGTATTTTGGAGAATTTTTTGTTCAATTTTTACAAGTAACGTAGTGCCATCAAGCACGAGCAATTATTGGTAATTTTTATACTGGTCATCACAGTATGTGAAAGGGAGAGAGAGCTGACTAAGAGAGATGTTTATATAGACAAATTACATATATATTATTCGCCTATTATTCAAATATTATAGTACTTTTATTTCAATATGAAATATAACCCATATTATAGTCATTCGATTCATTTCAAGCAAATCATCTGTATTTAAGGTTCATTTATTTATTTGAAAATTTTAAAAATAATCCTTAATTATATAGGATCATAATAAATGACCTAATTAATATTTTAGCGATTGATTTTTATACTGATCATCACAGTATATTGAGAAGTAGAGAAAGCTAACTAAGAGAGACGCGTGAGTTACGCGTGAGTATCAGATAATATAAGATAGAGAGAGAGTTATAAGAGGGATATGAGTCTTAGAATTGTGGAAAGAATGAAAATCTTATTCAAAAAATTGAAGGAGAAAATTTTCATATTAGGACCGTTGAACTAATAATCTCCTTAAACGATTTGAGCAGCGAAAAGTTCAAGACAAATAATCTAACTATTTTATTGCATAGATAATATGTAATTCCAATTCTATATTATAAAACATGATCCATTTTGAATCCTCCAACTTAGCTTAGCATAACAACAATTCAGATTTCATCAAATTTTATTCAAACGATTCAGATTTTATTTAACTTCACTCAACTTGATGAGTCCAATGATACATTATTCACCAAAAAAAAAAAAATCATGCTCAAACTTAAAAAACCCTAATGCACGTCCCCCAACCCATATTAGATACCCCTCCCCTCGCTGCCTCTGTTACACACTTCCTCTCTTCTCCCCCTCCCAAAAAAAAAAACACATCGCACTCACTGCCTTTCATAGTATGCTTCACTCGCTCACTATTTTTGCATACATCTCTCTCTCGCCATAGACGACGAAGTGACACAGATATGAATGACAGTGGACCGGAGAAAAATAGTTATTTGTCCAAACTCGTCCTGTTTGAACCGGGGATAGACTATACGTATTGGATAGTGGACGTATACGGGGATACTCGTATAAACCCTTGCGAAAATAAAGACAGGGATAGACTCTGCCTCGCCCCATCCCGTCCCCGTTACCCGTTATATATATATACTAGTCATAATCCGTGCCTGAAGGTACGATAAAATATAAAGTTTGAGTGTCCAAAAAATCGATCCTACTATATTAAATTTTTTTAACATATATATACAAATTAATCAAATATTAAATGATTAACTATAGATTAATTAAATATTATATGATTAATTACAAATTAATTAAATATTATATGATTAAATATATGATATAAATGAATGATATGATATTTTTAGGGGAAAAATACATAAATAATTAAATTAGTGATATAATATTTTTAAAGGTGAAAATATGTAAGAAATAAAAATTTAAATTGCTATCTTTTTTATTATATATATATATATATACATATAAACTCTCAATTAAAACCTAGACTAACTTACTCCTCTTCCTCAGTCGATGCCGCCCCTCTCTCTCTCTCTCACTCACACAGAATCTCACTGATCTGAGTATATGCTGCAATTGCAAACCCGGGCCCCTTCATCATTCATCTTCATCGTCAGTTGCTGCAAACCCGCGCCTCCTCCTCTTCGAGACTCTCGCCTCTTGCCTCTCTCTGCTTCTCTCAGTCGATCAATCCCTAGCGCCTCCTCCTCTTTGAGTCTCAGAGACTCTCGCCTCGCTCGCTGTCTCATAGTCGAAGCCACAAGCATCCCAGGTTCTCTCTCTCTCCTCTCTGAGTTCTATATGATTGTCAGTGCTGCAGTATTTGCCGTTGCGCATCTGACTCCTGGGGAATTGCCACAGTTGTTTGTACTTGGTTTAGTCTCTTGATATTGAAAAATTGACCTAGATTTAAGATGCAGAAAATTTGGATTTCTAAAAAAAAGTTCAAAATAGGGAAAAAAAATCATCGAGAGACCATTGCTAAATGAATATTTCTGATCATATTCTAGTTTCCGATGATGACAAATTTCATTCATAGTTGTTCCGATGTTGACAAAGTGAAAGGATTGTTTTGCACAATGATATTTGTTATTTGTCCTTTGCTTACGGGTTGGAGACTTTTATGCTTTGCTTTTTCTTTTATGTTTTTTTTCCTTCTGTTGTGGTTTTGGTTGGTGGGAGTGGAGGTAGTTTCTGTGGAGTTTCCTTGAAGGGACATGGTTGTGTGTTTAATACTAAACTCCCTAAAAATGGTGAACCTGATTTTTGGGACCG